GGCCCTCAGCGTGGGCCATGGACGTTGTGCAGCGCAATGCGGGCTTAGAGGATGCGCAGCCGCTTCCGTGCACCTCGCTACTTTGCGGTTACTGTAGGTAGTTCCTCTGCTGAGGCTTCCTCAGGTACAGGCACGAGCAAGTCTTGGCTGCGCCAGGCGACCACTGTAGCATTCGCAGCGAACACAGCAGGCTGTTCTGGCTCCTGTACACTGGCTGCAAGTTTCTAAATCCGGCGGCCTGCAGCGAATGGTCTGCGTAACAGCACGCCCGCACGCTTTTCTGGATCTAGGTAATGCAACTTGCACGGATACGTGGCAGTCACTACGAAGTAGCCTCTTGAACACATAGCGCTCATGATATTTGGGACAAATTCCGTCGGGCATTGGCCAGCTACCTAGCACTCCCTTGAGATATATTATCGATCTCATAATGATTGTGAAAAGGATTTCTTTGGAAAAGCTCGTAAATGAAGGGAGAGGCTAGAGAAGCGCTCGACAGCGCAATGTTCGCGAAGCCGCCTTTGACTGAGAACCCCGCGTCTAGCTGACCGTCTTGCAGATGCACTTTGGAAACCACATACGTCACAAAAGCGAAAAAAGAACTAAGCATCGCCATCCAGAATCCGAACGTTTGGGCAAGCAGAGAAAACTTGGAAAATCTGCTTTCTAAGCTCATCTGACCCAGCCAGACGGTGAAAGCAAAGGAAGTGACCGAGAGAAAGAGAAAGAACGAAGACATAATATCGACCAGCAGGAACGCAGCAACCGGGTAACAGAGATCGTGGTCTGTCTCGACGCAGAACGCGTACGTACCAGCTTTCACAGAATGGATGGCTGCATCGGCCACTTCAGATACGGGCTGTTTTGAAAGTTAGTGAGACCGCAGGCCGAAGGACGGGCTTGCAGGGAAGTCACACCTTCCATTGAAAGAACCCAGTGTAGCGACAAATGAAAACCATGACAACGCTCAAACACAAGACGGCAAATGAACAGAGCTGTCTCCCGTAATAGATGTACGTGGACATTCCATGGATTTCCATGGTA